AGGGCCTCATGCATGCAAGGCAAGCGCTCTACCACTGAGCCACCTTCCCAGCCCGTCCATGAGATTCTTATCTCCAATAAACCACTAGAAAACCGGAGGTGGTGCTGTGGCAAGAGCTCAGGGGCAGCGCCCAAGCCCAGAGTTCAAGCTCTACGACCGACAAAAAAAAAAAGAAATCCTCTGCATGTACTATTTTTTTTTTGGGGGGGGGGAGCAGTGCTGGGGCTTGAACTTAGGGGCTGGGCACTTTCCCTCAGCTTCTTCCACTCAAGGATAGCACTCTACCACCTGAGCCACAGCACCACTTCTGGCTTTTTCTGTTTATGTGGTACTGAGGAATCGAACTCAGGGCTTCATGCATGCTAGGTAAGCACTCTACCACTAAGTCATATTCCCAGCTCCAAAAATGCATGCTAGGTAAGCACTCTACCACTAAGCCATATTCCCAGCTCCAAATTATTTTTTGTTTTGGTTTTTATTTTGGGTCCGGTCGTGGGCCTGGGCGCTGCCCCTCAGCTCTTCAGCTCAAGGCTAGCGCTCTACCACTTGAGCCACAGCACCACTTCCAGCTTGGTTTTTTGCTTATGGGTGCTGAGGAATCGAACTTAGGGCCTCAAGCATGCAAGGCAAGCGCTTTACCTCTGAGCCACCTTCCCAGCCCTCCAAATTATTTTTTAAATAAAGCTCCCAGCTGCTATAACTATCTGGTCTTTGAAGGAAATGGGTTTTCACTGAAAGTATGGCAGAATCATCAATCTTGTCATCCCAGCAGTGTCAGCTTTCCAGGCCTTGCGTGTGCACATGTGTGTGTGTGTGTGTGTGTGTGTATTTGTATGGTTCTTGAACCAGAGTGCATGCTAAGCATAAACTGGACCACTGTGCTACATCCCCACCTCTTACTGTCTTCAACATATGTGCAAGAAGGAAATGGCTGCTTCAGAGAATATAACTAAAATCAGGAAATTGAGCAACTTGGTTTAAAAGGCAATTGAGGATATTTATTTATTATTTTGACATAGGAGGGGCTCACTATGTTGCTCAGGCTGTTCTTGAATAACCAGTGGGAATATGTGTTAGGCAGTTTGGGAGTTCTAAGCTGGAACCCAAAGAGGCAGAGGCTGGAATTTACTGGTAGGATCATGCCCATAATCGTTCTGGACTCAAATGATCTTTCTACCTCAGCTTCCTGAGTACTACTGCATCAGGTTCCAGCTATTACTCCTAAAGGAATAACTGTCTTTTCTGTCACCTGAGACTTTTTTGTTTCCATATTGTCCCTTCAGGGTTGACAGATGGTGGTTCTAAAGTCTAGTCTATCACATGCTAAGTATCTTCAGTTGCCAACAAACAGGTGTGTACAGGAATGCAGTCATGAGAAACAGAGAAGCTACGTATTGAGAGGTTGAAGTGGGAGTCTATTGGAGGGCCAGTGACTGCTGGTAGACACCTGTCTCAAAGACCTACTGCCCCTCAACTACACTTAACACTATTAGAAAACTAAGCCATGAGAGTAGGAGAGGAAAGAAAGAGCAGAAAAACAATCCCAACAAACCAGATCAATTCCAATGGAGAGCTGAAGTGGGACACCATGGTGACTGGAGGGAGCCTGGTGAAATGAGGCATGGCAAAATGGTGCCTAGCTGTTCCAGGCCTAATTAGGGTCCTGGTCAGGGGGTCAAAGTCATAGGGAGCTTGAGAGTTCATGACTCAAGACGGGCAGATCCAGTAACCTACTCCAAGTCCCTGCCCCTGTCTCTAGCAATTAAGGCACAACCATCTCCTGCGTGGTGGTGCTTTACCTTCCTCCACCATGAAGACAAGATGGTGTAGGTTGAAACCCAATTCCCTATCGTCTGCTACATGGCCATGATAGCACCAGTTAAACCCAGTATCCTTATTATTATAGATATTTTTTTGCCAGTCCTTGAGCTTCTTTTGCTAAAGGATAGCACTCTACCACTTGAGCCACAGTGTCACTTTGGCTTTTTCTATTTATGTGGTGCTGAGGAATCAAACCCATGGCTTCATTCATACGAGGCAAGAACTCTACCACTAAGCCACATCCTCTTATTTCAATAGGAAAGATTGGAAATGAGCTACATGGAATTGAAAGATTGGAAATGAGCTACATGGAATTGACCTTGAACATGGAATTCTAGGTTCTCTTGGTTCTAATAAGGGTAGTTCTAAACTTGTCCACTAAAAACTAAACTAATAGTTCAAGTCTTAACTTATTTCCTTAGGAAGCAGTGTTGGTTGAAATAAAAGTGTTAAGCAAGGGGCTGGGAAGGTGGCTCAGTGGTAGAGCGCTTGCCTTGCATGCCTGAGGCCCTGGGTTAGATTCCTCAGCACCACATAAGTAAAAAGAAAAAAGCCAGAAGTGGTGCTGTGGCTCAAGTGGTATTGCACTAGCCTTGAGCTGAAGAGCTGAGGGACAGCGCCCAGGCCTAGAGTTCAGGCCTCATGACCAGACCCCCTCCAAAAAAAAAAAAAAAGAGTGTTAAGCAAATGTTGGGGGATGTTAGCTGAGGAAGTAGAGTATGACCCTCACCTTCACTGGCCATCTGCACACTGGTCTTGGACTACACTAGCAGACCAAGGCATGGAAAGTCTGTTCTGAACTTTCCACCTGCCTGGTCATCATGTTGACCATGGCTAGTTCCATTCATTACTTCATTAATGAGTAACAAGAACTCTGCCTCATCTCAAAAATGGTATCTGCTGAAGTAATAGGAACTTGTCCTAATTAATGAGCTTCCAACAAAGCTACTCTGTGATGGCTATACCACCCAGTATTAGCACTAGCATTCTGACAGTAATATGAATAATACTACTTGGTATAACATATTTGGATATCCATCAGGATGACTATTTTTTTTTTAAAGCTGGCACTGGTGGCTCATGCCTGTAATCCTGTAATCCTAGCTACTCAGGACACTGAGATCTGAGGATCTCAGTTCAAAGCCTGCTGGGCTTTGATAAGAGTCCAAGAGACTCTAATCTCCAATTAACCACCAGAAATCCAAAGTGAAGCTGTGGCTGAAGTGCTCGGAGTTCAAGCTCCAGGACTGGAAAAACAACAACTGAAATATGGATACTGGGTCTAAGTAACACCAACTTGTCCTCACCATCATCCCGGCATCTTAATAGATAATGGAGACTTTTTTTTTACCCAGTCCAGACAACTCTAGAGGTGAAATAGGTCATTCTTTGAATTGCAGATGTGTCATGTGGTTTAGCTCCTAGAAAGTTTTGCTCCAGAGAATACTTGCCCTTAATGCCCCTGATTGTTCTGGATAGTTTGCTTTGTTTATATATAATACTTCTATTAAGTTTAGTTCCCCACACCAATCATGTGGTTTTTTACTTTATAAGCATTGTGCTACCTGCATTTGGAGCTGCAAGCTTTTGGGGGACATGTCCACTTGCAGACTCCTGATTTGACCCCTCAAAATGTGGCTTCTCTGTATCTGGATGATTGATTTCCCATGTAACACAACAACAAAACACCTGAAGCCGGTGGGTGTCAGTGACTCATGACTTTATCCTTGCTACTCAGGAAGTTGAGTAGCAAGTTGAGATCAAAGTTCAAAGCCAGCCTGGTAGGTAAGTCAGTGGAACTCATCTCCAATTAACAAACAAAATGCTGGAAGTGGAGCTGTAGCTCAAGTGTTAAGAGTGCCAGCCTTGAGCAAAAAAAGCTTAGGAACAGCACACAGGCCCTGAGATCAAGCCTGATGATAGAAGAAAAGAAAAAAGAAAGGGGGGGGGGAGGCAGGCAGGCAGGCAGTCAGAGACAGGAAGAAAGGAAGGGAGGGAGAAAGGAAGGAAAATAAAAAATAATTAAGCCATTTCTAATTGCAGCAAAAGCAGGAATGTGACTAAGTTCTAGCACATAGGCCTTTAGGGGATATTTTAAACCCAACCATAACATGGAGTTAGCTATTTTTATAGGAATCCTGAGCTCTGTCTCTTAGTTTTCAGCATCCAACAAATGACCTGTGGTTGCCTTCATTAATGATTTTAAAGTCTTAAGCCAGCCACACCCACCTATAACCAAGAATAAGAGTCCTCTTTTTAAAACTCAATTTAATACACTTAAAGAGCACATGCTGCGTGCCAGACATTGTTTTTAAAGCCTTTTCATCAAGCAAACTATTTATTAGGGTTATTCCTCATAACCCTGTGATGTAGGTGGTGTTAGTTCCCACTTTGCAGATGATAAAACTGAGGTAGCAATTTTCCCAAATTAAACAATTATTAAGTAAATGGAATTGGTATTCTAATTAAAACTCCTTCGTGGCCCCAGAGCTCATGCCCCTAATTCACCATGAATCTCTTTTCTTCCCCCATGAAAACAGTAATGTCAGAGACTGGGACATTAATGACCCTGAAGAGCCTCTCTCAAGGACCAGAATGGATAATGGAATTGGGGGCGGAGGGGGGGGGGTGAACCTATTTCTCGATCTTGTGTCCCTACTCCGGCAGCGTGGCGGGACCTTGGAGACGTAAGGCTAGAGCTCGGATAAGGGGCTTGTGGATTTAAGGTCAAATTTTTTGAACCTAAGGAATTTCCCTCCAAATCGGAAGCAGCCCCTTCGTGACGAATCTGCTACCTACCCCACGGGCTCTGAAACGGATAGATTTTCTCGGTGAGCAAGGCAGACGAAAAGTGAGGCCGTTATACCAACGCCAAAAGACGCCGAGTCCTACAAGATCCTAGTCGTTCCAACTTCCAAGCCGTGGCGAATCTGCCCCTCCGGCGGGGCAGCCAGGGGGCGGGCTGAACAGCGACCATTTTTGTTTTGCGGCCGTGCGCTCTCAGACCACCTTGACTAACAGGACCCCATGGAGGAGGCGGAGCCTATCAGAGGGCGGGGCGGGGCCAAAGAGACGTGATGATTCAAATGAACTAATGAGCTGGGCGCATCTGGCAGAAGTAGCCAATGAGCGGGCGTGTTGGGGCGGAGCGCACAAGCCCTAGTAAGCTCGGTTGTACCGCAGCTTTGGCGCATTTTCGGCTGGTTTGATTCATCCATTTTGAAGAGACGGGGGAGCGGGGGGCTCGTCTGATCCAGGGACCCCGAACCAAGGAGCGGCGGAGTTTGAGACACCAGGAGCCCGGGACTCGGCGGCCGCGGCCTCCTCGGCCGAAGTTCGGGGGGGGTGGGGCGCCGAGTGCGCGGGGTGGGGGGGGTCGTGGTCTTTGGCTTCTCGACTCGGTCCTGTTTGGACAGCGAACATGTCTCGGCCTGTCAGGTCAGTGCGGAGCCCGAGGCCTGGAGCGGGCGGTGGGGGTTGGGAGTGAGGGGCGAGGAGTGGGGGGCGCACACCCGGAGTGGACCCTCCCGGGCGCCCCCTCGGCCTCCTCCCTCGCGGGGCCCGCGCGCGCCCTTGGACGTGGGG